CCGTAGAAATGGGAAGGACGGAAAGTATATTTCGCCTTTCAATTCAGTGCGTTTCGCCTTTTCTAAAGCTAATCAGCCTTATCAAGAGTTTCATTTTCCCCGAACCGGTTCAATTTTCACTTTTGGTTTCCATGGTTTTACTATGGGCGAATGACAAATTTTCATGGTACATTTTTTTCAGGCGAAGCTCAGGATAAGGCAGAATATTTAACCACAGCTATGTACATATAATTATTCCAAGCCGACTTATAAAGTTAGTTATCCCTGAGACATAACTTTAGAGCCCGTTGCAGATGAATTGAAGTATTGTTGTTTCCGTGGGGATTCGCCGTTCGCCTGTCAGCCTGTCTTCTTTTGGCGGATATAAATTTTAGGTGATAGAGGGAGACAAGCATACAAGCGAACCGTTCAGAACACTAAAATATAATTAGGTATGGCTGCAGACTGGTGACCGCTGTGGTGTAGTGATTAGCAGTGCGCAGGCAATGGCCGTCCGGAGTCCGCGTAAAACTGTATGTCCCTCCGCTTTGTGTGATCACATCAAGGCGCACGCCACAAATCGGAGGAGAGCTCAGCCAAACACTAACGTATTACGAATCGAATGTTTCAATCAAGAAAAAGATTCATTCTCAGCACTGAGGTGATGGAAAATGAATATGTATATTTCATTTAAATCTTCATTAAAAGCTCTATTAGCCCCTACACTCGGCCTTTGAAAGGCCAGGCTTCCCTGAACCGTTTTTTTTTATTTTTGCTCTTATGTGCGTAGTTATTTACCTATGTACATCTGGAATAGTAATCAGCCGATTTGGATAAAAATTTAAACGAAATACACTCAAAGTATATCCGGGACATCACTAAATGAATTATCCGATTACGTCAAACAATTTGGAGATATACACGCAAAACCATTACAAAAACGATTTTTCTATAGGAGGACACCAGGAGATAACTTGGTAAACTGCAATTATTTTGGGTATAAAATAACCGACTATTCTTCGTTCGGCCATATATATGACATAGTAATGGTCCCCCTTTCTCTCTCATTTTCCCCCCATGCTCCCTCTACAGTTGTGGAACAGTGGATGAAACCTATCTAACGGTTAGATTCTAACCTAACAAAAATTTGTCGGGGTAAACATTTTGAAATGTTTTTGAATAATTCCAAAGAGACAACTCATCGAATATAAAATTATAAATAAATAAATTCGACTTTATTTACATATGAAGTTACATAAAATATATTACATACTGGTCTTATGTAGTACTTGTATAATCACATACATATAATCATAAACATAAATCAATGTTTGTATGGATGCTGGTCAGTGTTGCCATTTTGGTGCTTTTGGAGCTAGATCTTTATTATACCCGAGCGCACTTGTGCACAACACACACACATAACGGTTGTTTGTAACAGGCTAAACGAACCGAGATAGATATAGATATATGTATACAAAAATGATCAGAATGAAAAGAGAAATCGATTAAGCGGTGACTGTCCGTCCGTCCGTCGGTGCACACGATAACTCGAGTAAAAATTGAGATATCTTCACGAAAATTGGTACTTGGTATGTACACTTCTTTCAGGCGTAGGACGGATGACATTGAAAATGGGTAAAAACGGACAATAACCACGCCTACCTCCCATATAACGGTAATTTTCAGAAATACGAAAACTGCGATATTTTAGTAACTACTGAAGATTATTCACTAAGAATTGATATTTACAATGGTTTTTAGTCGAAAAATAAGAATATTATAAATTTTTGGAAAATGGGCGTAGTCACGCCCACTTATGATTACATATGTATATCTTGGTAGCCGCTGCACTAATTTCTTCCAGACTTGGAACAGTAGTTGGCCTTGGCGCAGCATACCAAATGGCCGAACATTTTTAAAATCGGACGATAACCACGCCCACTTCATATTTTGAAAGTTTTTTTTCAGCATTTAAACTTATAAACTTCGTTGTTTTTTATTAAAATTGTGGAAAATGTTAAAACCACCTTACGTCAATAAATGCTCAACTTAAAAAGAATCTAGCTCTTCACTACTATTACTTGTACTTAGCTCTTTTTCCACCGTTTAGCTCCAAACGACATTTCTCTCTGGCAACACTGATTCTGGTGCAGAAAAATTGGCACGGTGCTTCGAACGCAAGCATGCATACATACATACAGAACGTAGTAGACTTAAATCGTAAACAAAAAACGACACCTGTAGCTTATGAACGAAAGACACAAGATCACGCGCGAACGAAAGAAAGAAAAAAGTTATTTTCTAGCTGTCGAAATCTCGACGCCATCTTTGTTGTACGACGGAATACAACGAAGAGAACGCATAAAACCGCGTAAGTGTTGAACGCATGAATAATCATTTTTATTACGAAAATTCTTCTATAAATCATGTCGTTGTATTACATAAATTAATCTTTACATTATGTGTACACACGTTGGCATAAGCGAAATGAAGAAAATTGCAGTAAAAAGCCACCACCAAATTGTAAAAAACGAACAAATGTCAACAAGCCGCTAATGTCAAAATCGCCAACTTTTTTCCTTAATGCGATTATAACGGGCGTGACGGGTAAGAGTGCGTGATCTTGTATTTTTGGTTCTTGCCTGTAGCCAATAAAGCACCCCATACATAGGTCTGCTTACAAGTGCACTTCACACATATACATACATATGTATGTATCTATGTACTATGTAAATATCCATAGACATTGAAATGGAATGCTTGAAACTTACTCTAAATCTTCGAGCAATTTTTAAACATACGGACTTGTACATGCACTTACAAATACATAAACCTTAGATGTTTAAAAAAGGAAGCGAGAAAATTTCTTTTTGAGATTCCTTAAGAAGTTAATTTCTCTGAACTCACCACTATTTCTTGGGTTTTCCAGTATGCGTTGGACCTCACCAGCTTCAGAGCCACTCTCCCACTCGTACGGGTGTTGAATGTTCAAATCCCTCAACTCATCCGTAGAAATTTTCATTTGTTGCTGGCGATTAGTTGGCGGGCATCCACGTTCAATTTTTGGAGGCGGTTGTTGTTGAGCACCAGCCGCATTAGGAATCGGTTTGTTATTACCTATTTCCATTCCAGTTGTAGACTGAGGGTGTAGTTGCTTGAATATGTAGCGGGGGCTGCTGATATCCACCGGCAGAAGGCCATTGTGTTGCGGCAAACGCTGGTTATGTGGCGCCCAATATATTTGACTCGTCTGTTGACTTGAATTATCAAGTATCAACGGAGTACTTCGTCCATCATGCAACCTGGGCCGCAACTGCTGCCTTGGTTGGGGTTCACGAACGCTTATGTAACCATAAGCACCCGGAACCGGTTGCAACTTATATGGCCTTACGTAGTGTGGCTGTGCGTAGATATCACTCTGGCTGGGATAATAGCCAATCACTTGCGTTGCAGGAACCCATTTATCGCCCTCAACAAGCACAAATTGTGGAGCTGCCAAGCTTCCGCGGCTAATGTACATTGCTGGAGCTTCCACATCTCGCCCCTCCTGGCTTGTTCTTAGCGGGCTGTCGTAAATTCCAGAATGATTCGATAGTAAACTGCTTCTTTTCACAACATGTGCATATATTGGCGATGATGTGTTCGGGTTTATTGGAATGAACTGTTGAGGCAGGCTCTGCATGCGTTGTGGAACTTGTGGAGCAGCATACATCCGCGAAGGTGGCCGCAGATTCGTTTCAACAGAAGCATACGATACCGGTGATAGGTCGGAGGGTCCCGGTTGCTTCTTGTTAATTGCCACCACTTGTGGTTGCTGAAGAGTGGGCGTTTTATTTAATGATTTTCTGCAAAATTCCTTCACTTTTTGCAAAATCTCATCGCGCGTCAGTATGCCTCCGATGCGGCGCTGTTCAGGTTGCTCAAAGTGTTCCGTTGGATTATTATCTTTTCGTCGTAGAACAACAGGTGTGCCCACATCACTTTCGTAGCCCTTTCTGTTACCGTTACTATGCCTCGACGTTAAAGTCATATTATCTAAGACACTTTGACTACGAGGAGTTGCTTCAAAAAATGAGTGGTTTATACTAGGAATGGACTGCATTGTAGTTAGAGGATATACGGCGGCGGCGGGAATCAGTGCTCTTCCGTCAATAATTTTGGCTTGGCGATTCTTGGTCAAACCTGAAAAGGTGTTCCTTTGGGGTGAACCTCGAATGAAATTGGTTTCCAGCGATCTCGGTTGAGTCGATACGTTAGAAGGTTGGGCAATAAGTATTTGTTGGGTTGGTTGAAGGCGTTCGTATATGTTTTCTGCATCCTGTTGTAGTTTTTGTTCTTGTAACATTCGGAAGTAAAGTTCTTTATCCATGCGGTCTTTCATTGCCTTCAATCGCTCCCATTCCTGTTGGTCGACGTATATCTTATTGGTAGTTTTTGCACCTTGCACAAAGTCTTTCCTGTCGTTATCGCTATTCACATTTCGAATAGGCGTTGAAGTAAGTTTGGGTCCGTTCAGTGTCGAAAATTGTTCGCGTATGTTTTCCTTGGATGCTAAGGGAGTTGAAACCTTTGAAGCCTCGTTGTCACTTTTTGAGCGATTTTGAAGCTCTCGCACCAGTCTCTTTTTTAGTATTTCGTTGCGGTCCATCGAAGAGGAACGACCAAACATCTGTCTGCGGTCCAGTGTTTGCGTGGTTCGTTTCGGTATGAGACTCTGACGTTCAGCAGTTCGTTTAAGAGTTCCTTCTGGTTCACTTATAGGTGCCGCTGGGAATCGCTGGGCTCTTGGTTTCAAAATTGTTGTACTTTGCTGCGATGGTTTCGCTTGTTGAGCATTGCCTAGCCGTTCCCGGGAATGTGTGCGCCTCGGGGGTTTCATAATGGGAGTGTGAACGTTTCGTTCCGCAGAATGTGTAAGTTCGGCATTGGTTAAGACACTAGATAGTGAAAGGGAAATATTATCGCCACTTGCATAACTCTTTCGCGAACGTTCATCTTGGTGTTTTAGATAATCGGTTTCGGCGGAACTTAAAATGTTGGTCGCACGCGGCCGGCCATGAAAACTTTGTCTCTCCAGGATGACTCGTTTCATCGACGGGTGCAAATTATCATTGCTTTCCTTGACATGCGTATTGTAATTGCATAATGACCTGGGTGTAGGAACGATATCTTTGGGAGTTGTTTTACGCCTTGTAGCAAAAATGCTATTAGATAGCAGACGTTGGAATACTGAGGGCTTTTTAAAATTTCTAGCAGCATCTGTAGTATCAACTGAGATCTGTACGCTTTCGGGACTTTTAAAAGATATGCGCGGATTTGATTTCGCCACATCTATGCCATTTGTGTACACAGGACGTGCGCCATTTGGAATTTTTTTGGGTATCAAAGTAAGACCTTTTTTCTCAAGGTATTCTTGAAATTCTTTCGATTTTATCGTGTCGGTAAATGTGCCTTCAACTGGCGTTTTAAATTTACTTTCTGCGTTCATCATTTCAGCGTTGTTGGCCTCTTTATTTTCGTGTTCGCTGTCTATTTCTTTATTTACCAAATTTGGTGTCACTTCGTCACTCGACTCGCTTTTGGTTAGGGGACAATCTAATTCATCTAGATCATCATCAGAGCTTATATGGAGCTTTTTCACTCGATCATCGAATTTTTTCGCGTTCTTAGAGACTTCGGCTGGGTTAAAGAAATTTCCGTCCAGGTCGGTTCCCACTTTTATCTTAATATCAGAGAGATCGGGATAATTCGGCTTTGAACATTTCTTAAATGGGAGTTTCGAATATGAAAGTGATGTCTCTGCTGACGGCTTACTTTTTAAGTCTTTTATTCGATCTCTGGTTTGGTTTGATAAACGTAGCTTTTTTTGTGGCTTCTTCTCAGCAAGATCACGCAATTCTTCACACTTAAGGCGAGCAAGTATCGTCGGATCATAAACAAAGTAAGGATCCGGATTTTTTATGTACGTCTTGACATATTTGGATTGATTGAGGACTTCTTCAGTGGTGACAAAGTCGTCGGGAGATGGCAAGGATGGTTTGACGCCAACGCTCGACTTTCGATTATTGGTTTCGTTTTTTAGTCGTTCTTTTTCTTTCTCTTTCTCACGTTCTCTTTCCCGCAGCTGTTGGGTTACAGTTTTTCGTACACTCAACGTCGATCGTTTGGTTGGTACCGGAGGCGGAATTTTCTTCTTCTTAGCAGAGTTTGCCCAAGTGGAATAATTTTGTTTAAATGGATTCTTCTGATCTACAATCGGTTCGCCGGCAATGAATTTACGCACTTTTTCATCTTGCGGATCAAAAGAAACCGATTTCTTGAGCTTTGTGCTTGGCCTAATCGCTTCCGATCTTGACGTATTCGATTCTTCTTGAGATGTATCACAGGTATCATACAGTGATTTGTCCGACACGTCGCTGCTGGTGGCTAAGTTAATAATAATTTCTTTGGAAGGAACATTTGGGTTTTCTGATACGTTGGTTTGATCATCGGAGTTTTTATGGAGGGTTCTACTTGTGTTGTGCTTACTATTGGTGCTATTATTTCCGCTAAAGTTTTCTATTACGGTGCAGAGTGATTCAGTGCTGACGTCATTTCTAACTATTTCTGACATTTTTTCGTAGGGAAACTCCAAGCAAAAACCGTTTCTCAAAGATTAGGGAGAATGGATAGGGTTGCGGAAAGCGGTTTGGAATATTCGAAATGTTGACTTGCATTGGCATTGAATTCCGTTTGCTCTGATCCAAATTTCAGTAGATTTTGTATTGATGAATCTAAATAAAATTAGAAATGAATTAGTAGTTAGTTCTTTGTAAATACGCAACAACCTACCTACATACATATGTATGTATATAAGTACAAATGAGTATAACTGAATATATGTATGTGTGTATTATATATACACTATATCGATGGCTGAGTGGAAGATCGACCTATCTGAAATAGGGCGTTCTGGAAAAGTTTTTTGAGATAGAGCGTTTTCGAACTGGCTGCCGAGATAGGTCGATCTTCCACTCAGCCATCGATATGTACTTATGATGCGTTTTTTAAGAAAATTATATCATTTGGTGATGTGGTTTATATGACATACATATGTATGTATTTATTTACCTTCTTATTTTGCTCCTTTTCCAAGCACCAAAATCTTTACTTCACTTTGCGGGTGTTCATAAAGCCATTACAAAATTCGCCTATTTATGAATTTTAGCTGGAAAGAAATTGTAATGACCATAAAATATAAAATCAGTAACCAGTCACTTTTGTTAGATTGGAGTAGTATGTAATACGAATTTTCCTAGTTTTAGGCGTTACCTCACTGGTCGTTCCATACTAATTTGGTTTAAATCCGAACATTGGGTCATGAAAAAATTAACGATAATCTTAAATTTTTATAAGAAATTTGAAGTCGGTTTTGTTTATCAACAAGTAATTCTTAAGCAAAAAAACACAACCGACTTCAATTTTCATATAAAAATTAAGGAACACCGTTATTTTTTTATGGCCCAATGATCGGATCTAAACCAAATTAGTATGGGACCACCTGTGTGACACTACCTTTCCGATAGAAAATGAGTTATTGAAATCGGTTGAGGTGGTCCAAAGTTATACATAAAAAAAAAAAACATTCCGACGAATTGATAACCTTCTCCTTTGTTTGAAGCCGGTTAAAAAATATAATAAAATGCCCCCAGATCACTGTGGAAAAGATGGAGCTACCAAATTCAGAGTTTCAACAAAAGTTTAGTTAGTTATCGTTGGTAATGTAAAATAACGGCTCAAATCAAGATTGCATGTTTTCGAATTATTTAGCGGATTAGGTTTATAAATAACTATATTTTTCTGTGGCAAATCGACATAGGCTTAGTTGTTACCAATCTGGCAAGGGCGCAGTTTTGCCATTTGTCACAAAACCGAAGTAGGCAACCCTTACTACTGAACAGTGGCACATGTCTCACATTTATCGTGAATATTGGCATACGTCAAACACTGTCCATCGGCCAGTGATGCTTTTATGTGAAATAACGAAATTTTTCGTATTGTGACGTTGTTCAGTAGCACGAGTGGAGTTATTTTCGTGTAGCTACGTAAGATTTACTATTATTTCGTATTTTTTCAGTCGAACCCTTACTTTACAAATTTGGTTTTTATCTTTCGTAAATGGGTACCTAAATTCCAGAAGCTGGCGATTTTTTATTACTCACTTTTAAATTAATCTTAATAGTCATTTTACCTTTAGTAATTTTGACGTGTTGTTGTACCCAATTTAATTTTTTTATTGGAATTTGTTCTATTGTTGTAAATATTCTCCCTCCTCACATGTTGTAACAGTAAACTGTCTTGTCGCAAACAGTATAAATAAGCAATAGGAATTAGGGGGAAAAAAAATTTCTTATTTCCATCCTTTGTTGTATTATGTCCTGTTTAAAAATTGAATAAAGCAAATTTTGCATAAGCAGCTTTCACGTTTCTGGTATTGCATATTTCACGGAGCATTACTTTGTTACCAGCTTATGAGTATGCTTTATTAACCGACTTCCAAAAAATAAGGAGGTTATCAGTTCGTCGGAATTCATTTTTTTTTTATGTATGTTACCGCATAACTTTGGACCACGTCTTTTTGCATCGGAAAGGTAGTGTCTCAGAGGTGGTCCCATACTAATCTGGTTAAGATCCGATTAGTGGATCATGAGATATATATATATATATTTTTTTATATGAGAGTTGAAGTCCGTTTTTGTTTTGCTAAAAATTACTTGTAATATGTATAAGCACTAGATTACGTTTTGGCACAAGGTAATGCCGCTTATGTGATGATAATATATAGAAATGTCTAGCAAAATATTTTTAACAAAATGTAATGCATATAAAAAATGGGAATTGATTACATTTAAGAAGCAGTTCATGCATATTGTAATGCTATTGCGTTACTTTGGAGTTGACTCTGGATTTGGTGGCGTTTTCGCTGCTGGGTAAAATGTACACACATATGTACATATGTATGTATGTGTATATATCTACCCTGCTGGAAATGTATCTAACTATAAGTTAAATTGAAGTAGTCTAAATAGGAAGGAATTAGAGGCCACTAAATTGTGTGTATTCTCTTTGAGGACAGACAACTATGTATGTATATTAGTGTGGCGACGGCCGTGAAGCAGGCATGTTACTTAATTTAACATGACATATGTATTTTTTTACATATTCTTCTCTAGGTAGTCTCATATTCGAATCCCGACAGACATAATTTACAAATGACAATATACAATTTCGATTTTCATTTTATTTGTCCTGAATTTCAATAAAATATTTGTATGAGGATATTTAAAAAGAAACTTGTTAAAGAAAACAAAACCCGCGATTACGTCTACATGATTCCTGCATTACTTTTAGACTAGTTTTAAGTTTGCTTTTCGTATTTATGTAACTAAAAGTTATATATTTTAACGAAATTGCGCAAAAAAACTTGACTACAAGTGGATTATTATTTGGCAATTGATAATTTTTTTCTTCGGAGTATGTATGTGCTTCACTCGATCAAGCCATGTGCAGAGCAGACGGCCGATCTTGCCAACAACGCATTAATACAGCATGTTTGTACATATGCACATACATACATACATATGTATGTAGGTACACCTTTCTCGTTTGCTAGAAGAACGCGATAAGTCAAAATTTTAACGGATTTGAAGTTTTTAGTTAGGTCTTATGTATTGCAAATATAAAATAATAAGTAAATAATATCTACAAGTGCATATGTATAGTGTAGTCTTAAAAGCTGTCATGGAACTTTGTTTTTTTTTTTGGTTCCTTACGTTCTTACGAGACACAATTGACAAATGTCATTATGACGCTTTTTCACAACAATAAAGCAGGGCTGAGGGCCGTTTGTGCATATCCTTAACTTAAAAACCAAAATTTCGGATTAAAATGTTCTTCCAGCAAACGTGCATTATGTGCATTTATTATATACATATGTGTACTAGTATTATTATTATAATTTATTTTTTTGTCAGAAGTGAAGTTAAGTTTAGTGACTCTTATCGAAGAAAATTGTACTAAATAAAATTCATTTGAACCGAGCTTGTGGTTTCGAAAAACGTACGCACATATGTATGTACATATGTCTATGTATGTATATGTACGCCTGTGCTTTGGTTTATAAACTATGATGGCACAAAGAAACAAAATTAAAAGCCATGCCTGATTACCAGTGCCGCTTGTTTATGCGGTTGCAGAGACGAAACTCGGTCGGCGGGTGGCAATGGTGGTGGTCTGCTTCAGTTCAACCAATCTTAACCACAAAAAGCTCCGTTAAGCCAAAACGCACTTAATGCACTCAACGTAGCAGAATGTAAATATATGTACATATACAGTGACTCAAACAAAGGACCACGTGTGGATTTTTATTTTTTTTTAATATAAATACGTAATGTTTTTCGAGCACATTTTTTTTTCTATAGAAAAACGTCCAAGCTTTAACCAAAAACATATAAATCACAGTTTCAAACTTCATAAAATATTTAGAAAAATTCAACGGATTTTCATCAAATTGAATCTTTAGAACATTTTTGGGTATGCACTTTCATAGTGCATACAATTTAAATCTATGAAGTGCTAATTTCAACCTGGTAAAAAATCGCGTTGGTTTTTTTTTTAATTTTTTTCGGAGACCGCTTTTGCGTTTTTTTTTTTTATAAAACAAGTGCAATTTACAAAAAGTTTTTATTAAGATTAAAAAGTTGAAAGTTCAAAACTGTGCTTTATATGGTTTTGATTAAAGCTTGGACAACATGTATTTTTATAGAAAAACAACAAAAAAAACAAAAAAATTCAACTCAACATTATAAATATAAAAAAAGGTCTTCTGTTTAAGTCACTGTATCCATATGTAAATACATAGTATGTATGTACGATTATGCGCAAAGCCACAGAAGATTGGAATCGATTAGAAGGTAAAAGAAGAGCTGGTGAAAGGTCGTGCAGTTTTCGCGGTTTGTTTATTCGCTGCGATGTTTAGCGATGCCTGATCTTGTTTGTGGCTATATACATACAGCGTGTATATGTACAGTTAAGTGCATAAAGTGGTTTATTTAAAAAAAAAAAAAAATATTAAAAATATTAAAAATAACATTCTGTTAACCCAGTTTTCCAATATCTTGGTGATGCTTTCTGCATCTATCTCACATACCCTCGGTTCTTTACGGCACCCCAAAAAAAGTTTAATCGCAGTTCCGTGTACCGACATAGCTTTTCCAGCAGAATTTCTCGACGATCACGTGCGATCCCCGAATGCGGCAGTTTTACCAGGCCCACTCTCCAAAAAATTTATAATTTTGTTTCTTGTTAAAAGATTGTTGTAATTTGCTATAAATTGGCTTTTAAGTTATTGAAATATCGGAGTTTTCGTATTTCTGATATATACCGTTATATGGTAAGTGGAAGTCCAATTTCAAAAGTTTTCAACATATTCCTTTTTTTCACCAAGGTCTGTTCCTAGTTTGGTAGAAATTGATGAACTTGTTACCGAGATACATATTTGAGAACATACATAAGTGGGCGGTGCCACGCCCATTTTCCAAAAATTTTCTCTTGGTGTTACTTTCTGCTAAGAGGTCATTGCATATATCGATTTTCAGTGAATTAATTTCAGTAGTTACTAATTTATCGCAGTTTTCGCATTTCTATAAAATACCGTTACATTGGAGGTAGGTGTGGCTTTTTCCTGATTTCAAACATTTTCTTAGTGGGACTGTAAGCAAAGTTCGCACCCAGTTTGTGGGGATTGGTAAAGGGGCCACAGAGATACAGCATTTGATCATAAGTGGGCGGTGCCACGCCCGTTTTCCCAAATTTTCATAACTATCTTAAAGCGCGTTTCCTAGACGCCCAAATTGCGCACGGTTCTCAATTTGGCCATAGATAAAACTGTCACCTGAAATTGCGTATCAATCTCGAAATTGCCCCAGCTTCGCTAATACGACTCTGAAAATTGCATTATGTGAATTATTAATGACCTAAAAGAAGAAAAACAAACGCCAAAAACAAGCAAATAGAAACAAAACAAATTCAAATTGTAATTGAGTGTCAAAATTCCGCAATTTCAGGCTCGTGGAAACATAGCTTTATTTTATGGATTTTAGCTAGCCATAATTTTAAAACCATAAGTCATGCCATATAAAAAATTTGGAGTTTTAGCCCCTCTGTCAG